CAGACACTGCCTGCGCCAATTCCTTTCTCCCGTGACCGGTCTGTCACGACAATCCGGACCTGCTTTAATTGTAACCAGCCAGGTCACTTTAGAAGAGATTGCCCACACCCTAGAGTGTTCCGCCAGCAGACTCCCCGGTACCAAAATCCACATGTCACCAGTTACAGTTTCCCCTCCACCGGTTATCTCCCTGCCCTACCCCATCCACAGTTGCCTCAGTTACCTCCTCCACCTCTTCCCCCTCCGCCTCCTGAGTATTCCCAAGCCCGGCTCCCCGCAGCAGAAGCCCGTGCATACACCTCGCCCTCCGCTGAAGGGTTTGATACTGATGACATCCAAGACAACCCACCTCATCCCCGCCATGCCCTCCGTCCATCCCGCCCACCTATGCATACTGCTAACCCTCCCTCCACCTCCCGCCGGTACCAGGGACCGGATCAAGCCCACCTAGATTTATTACAATAGGTAACTGGCAAGCCTGTGTCAGCAACCCCCGCCATGGCAGTGTCTGCGGGGGATGGAGGAGGACCTTTAGCTACTGTAGTTCTCCCCGTGGAGGGTCACCCAACCACCTTTTTAGTTGACACAGGTGCAGCCCGTAGTGTCCTTAGGGAACAAGACCTGCCAGACCCTTCCTTCCTATCTGACACTGATGTCTCCTGTGTTGGGGTGGATGGTACACCACGCAGTAACCCCCTCACCAAGCTCTTACATGTAGGCTCACATATCCTGTCCCGTTTTGTTGTTTCCTCCACCTGCCCCATTAACCTCCTAGGTGCCGATGTTCTCTCTCGGCTCCAGGCTTCCATTACCTTTACTGCTGATGGACAGGTTGAGTTGACAACCCCCTTATCGCAGAAAGATACTTCTGTACTCTGCTCACTCCCAATTTTGTTGAATCTAACTGACAATACAGGGAATGCACGGGTCACACACACCCCCAGTGCCCTGGATCGTATCCCCCAAGAACTTTGGTCCACCGGCCCGGATGATATTGGACGCTTACATGTACCCCCAGTCCTGGTCCAGCTCCTGCCTGGTGCACTCCCCCCTCGTAGACCTCAGTATCCTCTGAAGCCAGCACAAGCTGAAGCCATCACCAAGCAAGTTGAGACCCTGCTTGCAAAAGGTGCCCTCACCAAGTGTACATCTCCATGCAACACCCCTCTCTTCCCTGTTAAAAAGCGAACTGTTAAGGGCCAACCCGACCAATACCGTATGGTACAGGACCTCCGTGCTGTTAACGAGGTAACCATAAAGGACACTGCTATTGTTCCAAACCCTCATACCCTTTTGTCCCAAGTGCCACCAACTTCAACAATTTTTACTGTTGTGGATCTGGCTAATGCCTTTTTCAGTGTTCCCCTTGATCCCTCCTGTCGTTTTCTCTTCGCCTTCACACATGAAGGACAACAATATACTTGGACTGTTATGCCCCAGGGAGCGCAGAACTCCCCAACACAGTTTGCTCATGCCATGTCTCTGGTTCTGGATCCCTGGCAGAAATCACATCTCGATGTTGTTTTACTACAATATGTTGATGACCTTCTACTCTGTGCTCCTAATTTGCTAATTGCAGAACGTGACTCAGAAGATCTCTTATGTTTCCTCGCTGCTGCCGGGTGCAAGGCCTCAAAGTCAAAGCTGCAATGGTGCCGGCCCTCTGTGGTCTTCTTGGGACACTGCCTTTCCCATGGCACCAAACATCTAACCTCACAACGGGTGCAAGCTATCCTGCAACTCCCATTACCTGCAACCCATCACTCTCTTCATGCTTTCTTGGGTCTCATAACATACTGCAGGTCTTGGATACCTGAAGCATCCAAACTCATGCAACCTCTCTATGATGCACTTCGAAGTGAGCCCTTTCACCTCACTGAAGAAGCTATTGACTGTTTCCATACTCTGAAAAGAGCTATTGCCTCTGCTCCTGCCTTGGGCCTACCCAACTATCACCTCTCTTTCAATTTGTTTGTCTCTGAAAAATCAGGACATGCTTCCGGAGTCCTTACTCAGAAACATGAGTCCAGACAACGACCCATTGGCTATTTTTCCTGTATGCTTGACCCTGTTGCAAGGGGCAGCCCCTCTTGCCTCCGTGCTGTGTTTGCCGCCAGTGCCCTCCTGGACAAGACTAATGACTTTGTGCTTGGCCATCACCTTACCGTGTTGGCCCCCCATGACATTACTGCTATCCTGCAACAAGTTCAACCCAAGCACCTTTCCTCCCAACGCCACCTCCGCCTGCAAACCTCATTGCTTTTACCTGATAACATAAAACTTCAGAGATGCCTAACCCTGAACCCGGCCACTCTTCTGCCACTTCCCAAGGGGGGAATTGTGTACCACTGGTACAGCCTGGATATCAACCCGGAAGTTCTAACAAATCTGCAACTACCTGCACTTGCACCTCCACATGATGATCAATCAATGGCCCTACTTCATTGCACTTTGTGGATTAGGGATGAACCAGGCCCTGATATGAATTACGAGGCAGAAGTATTCCAACTCAAAGAAATCCAAATTACCCTGACTGACTTGTTTTGGGACCTCACAGGTACCATGCTTATCCTGGTCCACCTCCCAGAGAGTGTGACACATCTCTATCACCATTGGGAAACATCGATCCCACACATATCTCTCACCAGAACCCCCGACATCTCGTGGAAAGACCTAGGCCCGATGGCCAAAACCTGGAGTCAAATGACCCCAGAACAACTGACTTCTACGAGAATCAACAAAAAGACTATTAATTACTGTACAACTGGGTACCCCAGGTACCATACAGAAGCCTGTGAGGATCCACTCACCACAGACTGTGACCACGATATCCCTCATGATTGCTTTGAACAAATGAAAATGGAAACTACACATCTACCAACTGTCTATGAAGCTGCACTACTCAACCCGGACCAAACATTATTTGTGGATGGGTCAAGATTTGCTGATGAACAAGGGCAATATCACACTGGGTATGCAGTTACCACAGAATGTCAAGTGTTACAAGCAGCTGCCCTACAACCAAATAAGTCTGCTCAAGAAGCTGAATTGACAGCCCTAACTGTGGCTTGCAAATTGTCTGAAGGGTTGCGTGTCAACATTTACACGGATTCAAGATATGCCCTGGGAGTAGCACATGATTTTGGCTTAATTTGGAAGACCAGAGGATTTCTTACGGCCACTGGTACCCCAGTAAAGCATGGGGCAGCCATTGCAGAGCTGATGGACGCATTGGAACTTCCAGCTGAGGTGGCAGTACTGAAGGTAAAAGCCCATGGAAGACTAGACACAGAAGAAGCACGTGGCAATCACCTGGCTGATCAAGCAGCTAAAGAAGCAGCACGGCAAAGATGGGAAGTGGACAGAAGAGTGGCCACAGATACACTGCCTATCTATACTATGCAAACATTGCCTACAGACCTCAGGCTTCTGAAGGAACAGCAAGCTGCTGCTACTCCCCAAGAGAAACAAGGTTGGAAGAACAAAGGAGCTATACTCCGTGATGATGTTTACACCATTAATCTCAAGTTCTGCCTACCTAGAAGTATGTACCCAGCGGTGGTCCAATGGGCCCATGGGCCAGCTCATCTGTCAAAACTCCTGATGAATTCACTGATTGACAAATATTTCGAAGCACCAGGCATCACCACCTTAACACAGAATTACTGTAAGTCATGTACTATATGTGCTAAATGCAATCCTGGAAAGATTATAAAGACTGCACCTAATCACCTAGCCAAGCCGCAATATCCCTTCCAGAGGATCCAGATTGATCACATTCAGATGCCAAAGAGTGGACGTTATGAATATGCATTGGTCATAGTGGACATGTTTTCAGGATGGCCAGAGGCCTTCCCAGTGACTAATCTCACCGCGAGGACTACAGCCAAATATCTCTTGACAGAAATTGTTTGCCGCTATGGGGTTCCAGAAGTAATTGAAAGTGACCAAGGGACCTCCTTCACTGCCTCGCTAACACGGGAAGTCTGGTCAGCACTGGGGGTGACCCTTGCATTCCACACACCATATCACCCACAGAGTAGTGGTAAGGTAGAGCGCATGAATGGCACTTTGAAAGCCAGAATGCTTAAAATGTCACAAGAAACTAACATGCCCTGGCCCGAGAGTCTTCCACTAGCGTTATTCAGTGTAAGGTACACTCCCAGAGGAAAACACAGTTTGTCACCTTATGAGATTTTGTTTGGTACAGCACCCAGGTTAGGTTGCTACTTTCCCCAACAGCTTCAGATTCAGTCAGACGCTATGGTAGACTATGTGACTGCCCTTTCACATGCCTTGACCAAGATACATGCCCAAGTGTTTTCTTCTATTCCAGATCCTGAGTCGAATACAGGTACACACAAGCTGCTTCCAGGTGATTGGGTTATGGTTAAGAAGTTCCTCAGGAAACACACCCTAGAACCGAGATTTGATGGTCCTTATCAAGTGCTCCTGATTACAGCAACGTCAGTTAAACTAGCTGGAAAAAGTTCCTGGATACACGCTTCACATTGCAAAAAAGTGCCTGCTCCAGGAGAAGCTGATCTTGTTGAAACATGAATTTATTATGTGTCTTGTGTTTTCTTATATTGTTGCATTTTGCCTGGGCCCAACAAGTGGCCATAACCAAAGATAATCATGTTTACACTTTCTGGTACAATTCTTCTGATACTGATGTAGCTACATACACCTTTGATTACTGTGACATAGTTACCTGTACATTCCCACAGACACAACATGCAGCCATATACAAGGACATACCTAACAAAAAGGACCCATACATTTGTGTGACTGGAGGAGCTTGGGGACACCACTGTAGTTCATGGAAAGCTGCCGGGTGGAATACAGGTAGACCATGGGGCTACAGACCTCAGGTTGCACTAGACAGACTTGACAAAGACGGGAAGCCCCTACTTTCTAGAATGACTCTTAGTAAACCCACAGGGTCAACTCCCATTAAACTTACCTTGAATATAGAACACCCTAGTCCAAGGGACGCGGGGGAATATGTGATGGGGATGTACTGGAAGGGAGGTGGCTCACACAATGCACTGGGGACATTCTACCTACAAGACATGCTCACCTCCCCCGACTGGGTGGGGACCACTCACATGATCGTTAACCCGTTAAAACCACATATTAAGACCCTACATGACATGGTAGCTATAGCCAACCCCACCTTTGAAGACACTATGGCAGTGGAAACTGGTTTTTCAGACACTAATTTATGGCTAGAATGGATGAGGTATAATGCCAACTCACACAATAAGACCAATTGTTACGTGTGTGGGGGAGCCAGGCCCCATCTGGGCACAGTTCCTCTGAATTTACCTCCTGAAGTAGAATCATGTGTTCTGAGCCTTTACACACAGTCCGTCACCAATTCCTCGACATGTGAATCGTGGAAGAGAATTTACCCGATCACTCACGGACATGTAAAACCACCTGATGGAGTCACCATCTACCCAGGTAATTACACATGTTATACAATATCTAAGAACACCGGTTTGTATCTGGGCAAATTCCCATCAGGATATCGCTCAACTTACCATAATCCACCTGTATCACTGTTAATGAACCACACAAAGACAATCGGCGATATCTATTGGTTATGTGGGGATAAACAATTGAGGTCCCAATTAATTGGGCAATGGTGGGGGGAATGTGCCCTAACCAAAGTCATAATGCCTATCCATATCATTCCAGATGGTGATCATAACACGTTAAACCTCACACATGCACACTCTAGAATCAAACGAGAGACTCCTATTCGAGGGAGTTTCGACCCCCATGTGTATATTGATGCCATAGGTGTGCCAAGGGGGGTGCCTAACGAATTCAAAGCAAGAGATGAAGTGACTGCGGGATTTGAGTCCCTAATTCCAATGATAACTGTTAACAAAAATGTCAATTGGATTAACTATATTTACTATAATCAACAGCGTTTTGTCAACTACACTAGGGATGCCCTACAGGGCCTGGCAGAGCAACTACAAGCCACTACCCAAATGACATTTCAGAACAGAATGGCCCTAGATATGATTTTAGCTGAGAAAGGGGGTGTATGTAAAATCCTCCCTGAGACCATGACATGCTGCACATACATTCCAGACAACACTGGGCCCAATGGTAAGGTGACTATGGCCATAGAGAAGTTAGATAGTCTTGCAGACGAGCTAAAGAAAAATTCAGGAGTCATCGACACTTGGGACAGATGGTTTGGATGGATGAATGGTTGGCAAAGGACCCTCTTCCAGGTGGGGACAGCTGTTCTCATAATGATCGTCATTTTCTTATTTCTGACCTGTTGCATATTCCCCTGCATACAGAAGTATCTACAGAAAGCGGTGGACAAGACTATAGATGACGTGACCCCTACTTTCATACACCAAGACATCACAGACCTCGAAGATGATACTCCACATACACCCCTTCAATCACATCAGTTCAAACAAACAACTGCTTTCCTGTAGGGACAGTATAGGGAAAGCGTCTGTCTTAACTGGCGAGTCTCACGTGTGGAGATGTAGTGGACTAGCCACTGCGGGTTACCCGCGGAGTGAAGTGTTCGATGCTAGTTAAGGCAGATAGGTTGCAGGCAACTAGGGACATATTAGGGACAGTAGCAGTTGTTATGGTAAATAGCCATTTTAGGGGGGACTGTTGTGGAAATAAGGTCTACACATATTTCCTAGTTAGTGAAAAATGTCTATTTACTCATTTCACGATATATATATATATATAGTTAAGCACACACGTTATAATTAAGATGGCTGCTAGAAGCTTCTTGCTCCTTTCCCCCCCCCCCTTCCCTTTCTCCTTCCTAACATCGACTAACTACCTCGTGCACCAAGATGGCGCCGGGAAACCGTGGGAGACCCTCATGGTCCCGGTGACATCACCTACAGTAGGCAGAACATTAGAGCAACCACTTAACACCTAACCAATAATTGATGTATTATTCCCTGTTATCTCTGACAATGCTTATGATGTAATTTTGCTTTAAAAGGGACTTGCCGTCCCCTCTGAATAAACATTCCTCAAGTTATTCAACAACCTGGAACCTGTGTCTGGTGTGAATTACTTCAGGGAGCGTGCACGCACTGTTTCATTGATTTGGCCAGGGGCAGATACACAAAGAAATAATCAATACTTTTAATTGATTTTTCCATTTCAAGTATTATGACATTGACAGTTAAAATGTCATGTAGAACTAAAAAAATAAAAATTCTTATTTTCTCCCATTTGTTTCATATTAAATTATGTTTCCCAGCTAAATATTTGTTATTAAGTGAAAGCCCCGTTTCCCCTGAATAAAATGATATATAATAAGGGTGGGTGCATTTACTATGAAAGAGGTGAATTACGGTTGGACAGACATGTGGCGCAAATGCCAGGTTTTGTTTACATTTTGTTTTGTTCACAACGTGTACATTTGGCTCCGTCCTTAAGGGGTTAAATACTGAACTTATACTTTCAAATAGAAGAAAAGGTAGGATTTGGGTAGTGGCAGGAGACAGAGAGATAATCAGCACCAAGGGAGCCCCAACAACTTTTAACCCTTTCGTGACCAGACCGTTTTAAAAATGTTTCTTACCGTTAAGGACCAGGGCTGTTTTTACATTTCTGCAATGTTTTTGTTTAGCTGTAATTTTCCTCTTATTCGTTTACTGTACCCACACATATTATATATACAGTTTTCTCGCCATTAAATGGTATTTCTAATGATACCATTATTTTCATCATATATTATAAAAAAAATGATAAAATATGATGAAAAAAATTTAAGAAAACACACCTTTTCCAACTTTCACCTTCAAAATCTGCTACGCATCTACAACCGCCAAAAAACACCCGTGCTAAATAGTTTCTAAATTTTGTTCTGAGTTTAGAAATACTCAATGTTAACATGTTCTTAGCTTTTTTTTTTTTTTTGCAAGTTATAGGGCAATAAGTACAAGTAGCATTTTGCTATTTCCAAACCCTTTTTTTTTTCCAAAATTAACGCAAGTTACATTGTAACACTGATATCTGTCAGGAATCCTTGAATAACCTTCACATGTATATATTTTTTAAAAGAAGACAATCTAAGGTATTAAACTTGGGGTATTTTGACTCTTTTCATGCAACCATTTTACCAGCAATCTATGCCAAATTGAAAAAAAATTTAAAGTAATTGCTGATTTTTTTGACATACATAGCAATTTAAGAATACATGTACTAATAACTTTACTGCCAAAGAACACCCCAACATGTGTTCAGCAACATCTCCTGAGTACAGTGATACCACCCATGTATAGGTGTGTCGGGTTCTTTGGGGGCTAAAAGACCTTATATGGAGGTTGCGCATTCCAGTTTTCCAACTTGGAATTTTCACAGCTGGTCATCATGCACCAATGTCCCACTTGGGACATTTTTGAAGGCAACCAATGTAATTTACCCCCATCAAACCATATATTTTTGAAAAGTAGACACCCTAGGATATTTTAAATGGTAGTATTTTAACACTTTCCATGCACTAATTCTACCACCAGTCTTTGTCAAGCTTTTGGGTAGTCATTTTTTTGTGTTATTTTTCTCTCACGTTGTACTTTAGGCATGGATTTTAAGTTCCTGATATGTATTACTGCCAAAGAACACCCCAATATGTGTTCAGCAACACCTCCCGAGTACAGTGATATCCCCCATGTATAGGTGTGTCGGGTTCTCTGGGGGCTAAAAAACCTTATTTGGAGGGTGCGCATTCCAGTTTTCCAACTTGGAATTATCTCAGCTGGTCACCCTGCACCCATGTCCTATTTGGGAAATTTTTGAAGCTGGCCAATGTAAGTTACCCCCATCAAACCATATATTTTTGAAAAGTAGAAACCCTAGGGTATTTTAAATCGTGGTATTTTAACACTTTCCATGCACTAATGCTACCACCAGTCTTTGTCAAACTTTCGGGAAGTAATTTTTAATGTTATTTTTCTCTCACATTGTACTTTAGGCATGGATTCTCAGTTCCTGTTTAGTGTTACTGAAAAAGAAACCCCCAATATGTGTTCAGAAACATCTCCCGAGTACAACAGTGCCCCCAATGTTCATGTTTTATGGGTTTTTTTGGCAAAATTACAGGGGTCAAATGTAAGGCTTTCCTCTTTTCAATGGTTTGCATATTGAAATTTGCCCGACTGGTTTGTTTGGCCTATGTTGCCTTTCAGACCGTATAGCAGTTCAGGAACGAAAATTAACCCCATCATACATACCATTTGTTAAAGTAGACAACCCACGGTTTTGTCACTTAGTCACAAACCCTGGCCAAAATGAGCATTTATATTTGTTTTTTTTGCATTTTTCACACATAAACTGCCATTTCACCGATGATATTTCGGTATAATACATTTTACTGCTCTAAAACACTCACATTTGTGTAGGGTAATGTCACAGGCGTATAACAGTACCCCTCAAGTACAGCTTTTACGGTGATATGGAAAGTTACAGGGTCAAACATAAGATTTGCCAATTTCTGTTTTTGTAAATTGCCATTTGCCAGATTGGCTATGTAAATTTCGAGACAGTATGGCAGCCTAGAAATGAACCCCTACCATAATATACCATTTGAAAAAGTAGACAACCCAGGGTATTCAAAATGGGGTATGTCCAGTCTTTTGTAGTAGCGACTTAGCCATAAACGCTTGCCAAAGTTAGCGTTTATATTTGTTTTTTGCATTTTCTTTTATTCTTTATTTTTGTAGTACTTTGCAAGTTGTACATATTAACAGAGGCAATGAATTTTGTATCAAAAAATATCAACTGGTTGAGTACATTACATGCCTGATTCACTGCACTTTTTTTTTTAAGATTACATTATAACATCAAGATATGCATACTTGTAAAATGGTTGCAAAACATAAGCTGAGCATGCTGATAGGGTTAGAGAGGTGCTTTAACAATGTAATATTCCTGTGTGCAATGTTCAAACATGGAAAAGTGGAAAGCCCTACATTTGACCCCTGTAAGTTTGCAAAAATCCATAAAACCGGAACATTGGGGGGCACTGATTTACTCATGAGATGTTGCTGAATACATATTGGTTCTTTGTCTGTAACACATAACCGGAATGGAGAATCCATGCCTAAATTACAATGGGAGAGAAAAATAACAAAAAAATGACTACCCAAAAGCTTGACAAAGACTGATGTTAGAATTAGTGCATGGAAAGTGTTAAAATTCCATCATTTGAAATACCCTAGGTTGTTTACTTTATATGGATTGATAGGGGTAAATTACATTGGCCGGCTTCAAAAATGTCCCAAATAGAACATGGGTGCATGATGAACAGCTGTGAAAATTCTAAGTTGGAAAAACTGGAATGCGCACCCTCCAAATAAGGTATTTTAGCCCCCAGAGAACCCAACACACCTATACATGGGTGGTATCACTGTACTCATGAGATGCTGCTGAACACATATTGGGGTGTTCTTTGCAGTAACCCTTAAAGTTATCAGTACATGTTTTCTTAAATGGCTATGTGTGTCAAAAAACAAACAAAAAAAAACAATTTTTCTTTTTTTTTTAATTTGGCAAAGATTGCTGGTAAAATGGTTGTATGAAAAGAATAAAAAAAAAAAAAAAAACACAACACCTTAATACCTTAGGTTGTATTGTTTTAAAAAATATATACAACTGAAGGGTTATTCAGGGATTCTTGACAGATATAAGTGTTACAATGTTACTTGCGTTAAATTTTTGAAAACAAATGGCTTGCCCTATAACCTGCAAAAAAAAAAAAAAAGCTAAGAACATGTTAACTCAGGACAAAATTTAGAAACTATTTAGCATCTGTGTTTTTGGGTGGTTGTAGATGCGTAACAGATTTTGGGAATCAAAGTTAGAAAAAGTGTGTTTTTTTTTCCATTTTTTTTCATCATATTTTACACTTTATTTTATAGTAAATTATATGATACGATGAAAATAATGGTATCTTTAGAAAGATCAAAAAAAATAAAAATATAATATATATATATATATATATATATATATATATATATATATATATATATATATATACACACACACATACATATATACACACACACACACACATATGTGTGTGTGTGTGTGTGTGTGTGTGTGTATTCAGGGCAATATTGATTAGGATATGAAGTAAGATTGTTGTTAGCAAACCTGTGACAGGGAAAAGTCGGTTGAGGTGTGCCAAAACCGACGTATGCTGTAGGCCGGTAAATAAAGTGAGTCTACACTAGAAGAGTATGGTGAATAAAGGGAGTGGAGGGTGGGGCAGCAGCTTATCAGACCAATCACGGTAGGGTAGGGAAGGAGGGAGTCCCTTTTAAAGGTCCATAAGCCCCTCCCACAACTTCAGGCCAAGCTTTTCAATTTGTGCTCGGGGCAACATCGATTATGATATGAAGTAAGATTGTTGTTAGCAAACCTGTGATAGGAAAAAGTCGGTTGAGGTGT